ATCATTCAGTGTGTAAATAATTGCAAGTGTAGCGAAATGTCGAACAAGAGGGTTTGGTATTTAGTGAATAATTTTAATAATGTCATGCTACACAGGAATTACAGTCAACTACTCCGCCGGCGGGACATTAGCGCGTGCGACATTTTGGCACACGGTTACTCATAAGAACTTGATTTGATGAAAACATTACCAGACAGACAAAACTCATACCCAGCAATATAGTCTTAATGGTTTTCTATAGTTTTCCTCGGCAAATGTCTCCCAAGAGGACAAGAAATTTGAGAGTCGATTTCAAGTAGGAAGTTATTTCCATGTGTTTTCGCCAAAAAGTGTAGGCAGAGGTCGACATAAAAGTACTAGCGAAAGGAAGAAGATAATATATATATATATATATATATATATATATATATATATATATATATATATATATATATTATCATGCTTTTTTCTTTTCACATTTTTCTAAATGTTAACCCCCTTTAAAAAAACCCGATGTGTTATAGTTGACAAATTACAGCATCTACTATCCACGTCATGTAACACGCACCACACAAAAAAAACGCACTCATTCATTTTTGTAAAAATGGACGGTTAGGGTGCCATTAATCCCAAATTGACGGTAAGAATATAGTTTTTGTTAGTAGTCAACTGGTGTAAATTCCTTTTGTGTAGAGTGAAAAATGCCCATATGGCACGAGACACGTGTATCTGTTCATTGGTTGATTTCACGACAAAATTAAATGACGTGGATATTAGCTGCAAATTGTAATTTGTCAACTTGCCAAATGTGACGTGATGGGATTTGTTTGAAGAGGGCTTACATTTAGAAAAATGTGAACTAGTGCTCAGAGAGATGGCCTGTTGAGGAACTATTTAATATTTGATTGACAAAGTCAGGTTGGGGTTTATTACAGATCACGCGAAAGATGATTTAACTAAGATGGGTAAACGAATGATGCACAAGGAGAGAAAGGGTTACATACTTGTTAATGTGAGCAAATAAGCGTTTGAAATTCCAACTTGCCGTCGTAACTGTGCAACAGCGTTCTAGGAGGGCATGAGGAAAGTAAAGTAAAACATCGGTTCATTTCTCTCTGAGATCACATTAGTTCATTTTTCATTATTATTTCAAAAAAGTAAATGGAGTAGCCAAAGCTAAAAAGCAGCTCAGTCTTTCCATATTTTATACAAGAATCCGATTGTATCCCAATAGAGAAATTAAATGGAAAATAGAACAGGAAATGGGCATAGTTTTTCCTCACGGTATATCTAAAAAAAATTCAAAAAGTACGTTAACAAAATAATACTGTAATTTTATATTAAAATATACGAACAGATCCTCATGAAGGCTTTGTTATTTTAGATTTGGGGATAGAAAATATGAGATTTACTATAGCAAATATCTATATGCGCTAATTGAATGAGGGTGGTCCATATGCTTCCTCAAATGCAATTTCTAGATTAAATTGAAAATATACCAAATAGAAATTAAGTTATCGGAGGGAAATTCAATTTGATTTTTAACAACGATAACGGCAAGTGAGATGGGAATCATACATGAATCAACTAAGACCATTTTCAAATCAGGTGAAAATTTAACTTCTCGGGTGACACCAAAAGATACATGTACCGGGTATGATAGATAAGGGGCCCCGTTACTCGAAAGCATAGCGCATTGCGACCTAGCGCAAGCGTCTCGATTCCATAACTCGCCCATACTCGCCCCATATAATACACTGTAGCCTCCATGTGATATCGGTATTCGCAATGCGCGATGCTTTCGAGTTACGGGGCCCAGACTGGTACACGCAAGTGCAACACCTGCTACTGAAAGTTTAAGGAAAGTTTATGAAAGCGCTGGCTCAAAGCTGGCATTTGTGAATGAAAATGTTTTTTTTTTAAACTCTTGAGCAAAAAAAAAAAAAAATTATCCAAAATAACTTGTTTATTGTCTGTTGATTATTATCGCCTCATCTCAGTTCAGTAATGAAATTACTCAAGTATTACGTAAGAGTAGAATATGTTCATTAACATAATTGCTGGAAAAGCAAAGCACCAATGGTGTGAATAAATGTATCACTGCATGGTGCACGTATAATTGAAAAATAATTTATAAAGGATACGAATGATGCACGGAATCATGTTAAGTGATTTAATTCAAACTTTTCACAAACACCTTTCGCTAAAAATACCGTGCAACTGGCCAAATTGCAATTTTAGTATTATGTGTAAGAATAGCTGTTAAGTAAGACAAGCTAATAAAGAAGAAACAAAACCGTCATATTTCATTACAATAAATTTGTAAAATGGAAAACTACTTTTCCGCCCAGTGCAATGAACTTTTGGAAACAGAAAAAAAGTATTAGGAGTGCTAGAATAAAAAGACGTTGGCATAATAATTTTTCTCTGTTGTAACAGAACAACATTCCAAAACCTTTTAAAAAGAAACCCTCGAAGAAGCGATTATACAGTCAGTAAATTTGAAGGAATAAGACAAATTGAATACGGTATTGTCTTTAGCCATAAAAGTTTCTTTCATTGAAGGAAATCGGGTTGAATTAGATAAAACAGAAACAGTTATATCTTTATATTAGGTGATATTGTTGTTGCCAAAAGGATCACGTAACTATGGATCTTTATATTAAGCGTTGAATATCCATGGTTGTTTGCTAATTAGTTTATTTCTGTCTGATTTGTCTGCCATGGGCCCGATTATCGTCGTGAAATAATGTTTATATCCAGACAATTTAGTCAGCCATCACGTACAGGCAAATAGCACTCTTTCGTTTCCTTTCATTATGCTATAATGATAGCCCTTATTAAAACGTAAATAGACTCGTCTGGTCTACCTTAAGCCCTTCAGTTCCTTTGTATGTTCTCATCAGTAAGACCAAGTAAGAGCACTGTGGTCTTTACATAAGACAAGTCCCAGGGGATTTTTTTTTTCTTTTTTTTTTTTTTTTTTGTAGAGTAAACTTTTCTTAAATTTAAGACAATGTCCGTTTTTGAAAAGGAGCGTTTCGCTTTTTCCTGGGTGATAAATGGCGATTTTTTTCTGTGTTTACTTAACTGCATGCTGTATTGAGCTTTCATTACGTTTGCTAATAATGTCTCACAGAGTCGTAAACCTCAAAACTGATGCCTTGCTTCTTTAAAGATCTATGTGATTACAGAGCTCTTTGTTGTCGGTGCTCGTTTTTTAAAAGATTATATTTTGTTCTTTGTCGATTACATTCGCACATTGATTTAAAACTCATTATGTCATAACATTATTTTATAACATAAAAATCCCAAAGTTTACACAGACAGTTCAACATCAACGTTAAATCAACGTTATTCTTTACCTCTTGTACATCGTATAGATGGGTGGCGTGCGCGAAACCGGATATTGATTCCATATATCCTCTTTTACTTTACAGGAACACCTTTAGAGCACCCTGATGTCGCAAGAGGCTAATCACTCTCACCTCTGTTCTTACGATAACATTAACGCAACAGGTGACCACTTTTGAAAAAAAAACATGAAATCCTTCAGAATTGTTTTTCAATATATCCAACCGCTTCGCTATCGTTAGGAGCTTTCTTACATGTATGTGTACTTGTTCTCGATACCCCTTCCTCACCCCCCTACAACAACAGAAAAAGCTCAAAATTTTCAGATATCATAAACAATCCATCACAAAAGTTGCCTAGTTTAGGTAAAATAGCCCATTTACTTTTATAGCTCTAATGTCTGAGTCTGAAATCTCGAAGGGGGCTGATCGGTAATGTTGATTTAACAAAGCTTGAGCACGTAAGTCCAAATAAGTCATAATGTGACTTATAACATGTAACGAGAAGGTATAATGGGTTTCGTAATTGTGACTTTTCCTCGAGGAATAATGTCACTGTAAAGCGTATGGTCCACTAATGAATTCAAATGTCAACAAGATTGATGGCGCGTCCTGTTGAGCCTCTGGTACCTGTCCCCGAGGCCGCTTTTAACGAACTAAGTGTCTTGTCTCAGTTTTGCTGGCACGCAATGGGCTTTAACACAAGTAGGCAGCATTTAATCAGGGACTATTTAGGCGCGTTATTGAACTTATCGAGTGGGAGCTTTACCGAATGACAGCCACACATCATCTAGATGTCGAGTGCTCTTTATCAGGGGCACAGGGAGAAATTTTTTCACTAGATATTCGCTAACGTTTCTCCAGCTTATTTTCTTCACATTTCAGAAATGACTTTATTAACCCGGCTGACTTATTGAAGAGAAAACGAGTACGTGTAGATGTGAACGTGTGAGACACACAGGAATTCACAGTTTCTACCATGTATAACAATGTACTTGAGATAAATATTGTCTTCGTTGTCGGAATATCGATCGTTTTATAATTGGCTTCAAGGTCAAATCAAGGTCAACTCAAATCAACATTGTGTCAATAGGTAAAGAAGTAATTATATTGGTATTCAGTCTGGAAGTCGTCTACCTTGTTAGTTTTCCTTATGTAACTGAGTTGGGGAATATCAGTTTACAGTTTTCGCCTAACGAAGGATGAGACTAAGGATAATATCTAGTAAGTCGATCAGAGTTTATTTGATAATGCAAAACATTTTCCAAGAATGGAAATGCTGGAGATAGCATTACAAAAGATCCATGTCATCCTGTGTCTGTATTCTAGTTTAGTTAACTTTGGCTGACACATACATGTACTGTTAGAGAGGGCAAGAAGGAGGTGGGGAGCTGTTGTGCGAAAAACCCTCGTCTAACTCCCTTGGCCATATCTTTTGACACTTTTTCAGACACACAGGCCAGGCTCGTAGCCAGCAATTTCAAAAAGGTTTTTTTTTTTTTTTGAAAAAGTGGACCTTTTCCCACAAAAACTTCATGTACCTAGATCGAATTTTACCCAGAGTGGACCTTTTCCCAGCAAAAGGGGCGGTTCTTTCGAACCCCCCGAACCCCCCCTGGCTACGGGCCTGCAGACATCATAGTTTCTTAAAAACATCATTATGATATGTATCCAGAAAAAATGTAATAAAAATCTATACTCAGTATAAAAATGAGACGGATATAAAACGCTGAACCGCATACTTTTGGATGTCTTTGGTTGATTTGAGGCGTTAATTTTCATTTATTTTCATTATTTTTTGCATTTCCATTATAGGTTGAGTAAGATTATAAATAAAAGTAATTAAAATAGAAATAATATCATGTTGACTTATTGTTCTTAAGCAATTTGCTCACTTTACTTTGCTATAACGTTTCACAGTTTAGATAAAGACAAGCTATAATTAAAACTGTTCATGGCGAGTTACAAAATGGCAGTTCTGTGGCGATGCTCACGGTATAGTCGAAGAATGAATTTCCCGGCTGCGGTGTTTCTCCTACGCTTCACCTCGTCATAGTATTGTGCGGGTATGGTGCCCTTTTCGAATGCCATGAACTTTTCATTCATCTCGGGTGGAAGAACGAGAGGGTACGATAAAGCGGCAAAAGCGATATCCGCCCCAGATATCTCCGGGGTATCACAAATGTTCTTCCTTCCGTCGGCCAACAAGCGTTCGACTTTGTCCCAGACCTCATTCACAATTGTTTGGTTTTTGCGAAAGAAGTCCGCAGATTTTATGTTGACAAACCTAGTGAAGATGAATTCGACACTGGGCCATAAGAGACCTACGCAGGCGGCCTGCCATTTCGGTACTCCCTTCTGAAACACCTCTCGTAAACGATGCTTACCCAGGGAATCGCCGTAGAGATAACAGTAAACAATACAAAACGCAGCGTGGCCATAGCCAAATGCTTCAGAAAAACGAGCATCCATTTCAACAGCCTCTTCACACGGGAAAATCCAGTCTTTTTCAAACTTTTTCAGATTTCTCTCTTTTAAAAAACGCATGATGTCTGTCGATTGTGGAAGAACTGTATTCTGCGATGTTATCATAACGGGCGTACTGCTGTTCTTGCCCGTGTGCCACAAGGTAATATTATGAAATATGGGGATGTACCCCTTCTCTTCTACAGGTACTCCAGACAGCTGGCATGCCCAGTTCACTTTCTCACAGAAATGAGAGTACGGCAATGTAATCAGAATGTGCTTGCTTCTGTCACCTGCGTACATGGTGTTGAAACACTTTGAGAGAAGCTGCCCAGCGGTGGGAAAAGCTCTGTAGAACGCATTCACAGCAATTGCGGCGACCCTCCATCCAATGCTCGCAACTAACACAACGGGGATCAGAACAGCCCCGCACACCCGAGAGACCGAGTTGGCCATTAAGATAGCTGAAAAGAAACCCCGGCCCTATTTATTTTCAAGATAAAGCGTTTGAATTAATTTATTATGAGGATTACAAGTAATACATTACGCTGTTATCTTAAAACACGAACGATGTACATGTACAACGTTTGACTCCGTTTGATATTTAAGCAACCAATACAACCAAATTCAAAAACGGGGCTTTCCGAACGCCCGAACGAATAAATAAGACCTTGCATAAAAAAATAATAAAAACAAAAAATAAATAATAATAATAATGAAAACAATTTTCTACACGAACATAAGCCTATATATTTTTGCCGTAGTTTCTTCGTGGTTTACTTATTAACAAGAGTTGGTTAGATAAGAAGTCGGAGGCAGTTGAAGTGTCCTTCTTTCGACCTATCCTCCCCCTAACGCCACGCCACCATAGTGTAAATAATATACACACACTCTTTGTGGTTGAACCCAAAGCAAATGAATCAGCAAACCGATTATCAAAGCATATTAAAGTAGTAAAAAACGGATTGTCAGTTCGGCAATCTCATAAAGAGTTGTTTTTCCTTTTTTCTTGGTGAATGTCACCGAATTATAAAAAACGCCCATAATACTAAGAAAAAAACAATGATTTTATTTTTCAGTCATCCCCTAAATTGTTGTTTATTTTTAATATATCCAAGTCTCTTGTCTGTCTAGAGCATCTCCGTCAGGAATATTGAACATAGAAAACTAAGAAATACCCAAGGTAAGTCAATGACAATTAATTTATCTAGACTTGTTGTAAAGAGTCACTGGCGGTGCAAACGCAATTATAGCTTCCCGAGAGTTCCAAACGATCTCGTAGTATTTCACCCTCAAATGAAACGGAGTTCTTGTTCTCCAGAAAGAAGCTGGCTGAAGGCTCTATAGATAGTCAATATTAAATGCATGTAAAGCTTACAACTTACAACTGTAAAAAGGGTTTATGAATAATAATTTAGTCAACGGTTTTGGATATGGATAACATGCTGATTAAGAGAATTGTCGTCACATTTTGGGGGAATTTAGTTTTTGCTACATTTGCTACAGTGTGTTGAACGCCTATTAAATGGAGAGCCACCTCGCGAGATTATATATTTACCCAAAGTAATGGACTAAAAATGAATAATTACTGTACCCTTCACGCTGAATGACGTCCATGCATAAAAGCGTCTGACCGCGTAGTATACATTATATTTTAATTCATGGGTATCGTCTAATCTAGTCTTCGAAGACATTTGAGTGGATATTGCAGGTTCTCCCCGGAAAGACTTTTTAGAAAAAAAAAACAAACAATTTTCTGGAAAATTCAAACTGTTACATTTGACTTTCTATCAAACTAATCTCCCTTAGGCCATTGAAGACGTTGCGTGTTTGATGCTGTACTTACTATAGTATACCCGTACATGCCATCTTACCGTCCAGTGTTGTCTCCACAAGTAGGAGTCTACACAACATAGGCCTATAGCTCCTTGATGCAGACGAATCTCAATTTAGAATGAACCATATCTCGACAAATGCAGCTGAATTTACTAAACATTTACTAGGTTGAAATCTTAACATATAGGCCTACGTGGTTACCTACCTTTGAAGGTCTTATTAGACTCACGCAATCCCTTACATGTAAGAGGGAGTATTACATCAATATGTACACTGAATTATCNGTGCTTGCTTCTGTCACCTGCGTACATGGTGTTGAAACACTTTGAGAGAAGCTGCCCAGCGGTGGGAAAAGCTCTGTAGAACGCATTCACAGCAATTGCGGCGACCCTCCATCCAATGCTCGCAACTAACACAACGGGGATCAGAACAGCCCCGCACACCCGAGAGACCGAGTTGGCCATTAAGATAGCTGAAAAGAAACCCCGGCCCTATTTATTTTCAAGATAAAGCGTTTGAATTAATTTATTATGAGGATTACAAGTAATACATTACGCTGTTATCTTAAAACACGAACGATGTACATGTACAACGTTTGACTCCGTTTGATATTTAAGCAACCAATACAACCAAATTCAAAAACGGGGCTTTCCGAACGCCCGAACGAATAAATAAGACCTTGCATAAAAAAATAATAAAAACAAAAAATAAATAATAATAATAATGAAAACAATTTTCTACACGAACATAAGCCTATATATTTTTGCCGTAGTTTCTTCGTGGTTTACTTATTAACAAGAGTTGGTTAGATAAGAAGTCGGAGGCAGTTGAAGTGTCCTTCTTTCGACCTATCCTCCCCCTAACGCCACGCCACCATAGTGTAAATAATATACACACACTCTTTGTGGTTGAACCCAAAGCAAATGAATCAGCAAACCGATTATCAAAGCATATTAAAGTAGTAAAAAACGGATTGTCAGTTCGGCAATCTCATAAAGAGTTGTTTTTCCTTTTTTCTTGGTGAATGTCACCGAATTATAAAAAACGCCCATAATACTAAGAAAAAAACAATGATTTTATTTTTCAGTCATCCCCTAAATTGTTGTTTATTTTTAATATATCCAAGTCTCTTGTCTGTCTAGAGCATCTCCGTCAGGAATATTGAACATAGAAAACTAAGAAATACCCAAGGTAAGTCAATGACAATTAATTTATCTAGACTTGTTGTAAAGAGTCACTGGCGGTGCAAACGCAATTATAGCTTCCCGAGAGTTCCAAACGATCTCGTAGTATTTCACCCTCAAATGAAACGGAGTTCTTGTTCTCCAGAAAGAAGCTGGCTGAAGGCTCTATAGATAGTCAATATTAAATGCATGTAAAGCTTACAACTTACAACTGTAAAAAGGGTTTATGAATAATAATTTAGTCAACGGTTTTGGATATGGATAACATGCTGATTAAGAGAATTGTCGTCACATTTTGGGGGAATTTAGTTTTTGCTACATTTGCTACAGTGTGTTGAACGCCTATTAAATGGAGAGCCACCTCGCGAGATTATATATTTACCCAAAGTAATGGACTAAAAATGAATAATTACTGTACCCTTCACGCTGAATGACGTCCATGCATAAAAGCGTCTGACCGCGTAGTATACATTATATTTTAATTCATGGGTATCGTCTAATCTAGTCTTCGAAGACATTTGAGTGGATATTGCAGGTTCTCCCCGGAAAGACTTTTTAGAAAAAAAAAACAAACAATTTTCTGGAAAATTCAAACTGTTACATTTGACTTTCTATCAAACTAATCTCCCTTAGGCCATTGAAGACGTTGCGTGTTTGATGCTGTACTTACTATAGTATACCCGTACATGCCATCTTACCGTCCAGTGTTGTCTCCACAAGTAGGAGTCTACACAACATAGGCCTATAGCTCCTTGATGCAGACGAATCTCAATTTAGAATGAACCATATCTCGACAAATGCAGCTGAATTTACTAAACATTTACTAGGTTGAAATCTTAACATATAGGCCTACGTGGTTACCTACCTTTGAAGGTCTTATTAGACTCACGCAATCCCTTACATGTAAGAGGGAGTATTACATCAATATGTACACTGAATTATCGGTCTCCTAACCCAAATTGATATAGTGGTACTATTAATTCAACATAGACATTTACACAAAGCTACAAAAAGTGTATCAAAGAGGCGTGTGACAGGGATCATAGTCTCATTACTCTGCACAGCCGCATAATCTGACCCCGCCAACCTTCACCTGTATAAGGCCTACTTATATAGGACCCCCAGACTACATAGGGGTGGATACAGGATTATTTGAAGGGGGGGGGGTTGTAGATGCGTAGCCAACCCTCCCACCCTCCTCCCCACCTCTGGCGTGGGGTTCGGGCCGACCGAAAGGCTCCGCAAAATTTTTGGTATTTTAGAGCGAGAACGGTTTAGGACTATGATTCAGCTAGTCAAAATTCTTATTTCAAGAGGGGACCATTGGTGTGATTTTTTTCAGAAAGCGAAGGGGGGGGGGGTCAGAAGCCGACCCGTTGTGCCTCCCCCCTCCCCTCGCAAAACCCTCCACTGGCCCTTCACCTTATTTTCCCACCACTGTCTAATACCACTGGTCAAAAATCTGACCCCCACGGGTCACTGAGGCAATTGGCCCATATAGCACAGTGTTGAGTAAAAGACATTACAATACTAAGCAATAACGTATTTTAATCCGTAACGCACTGTTCATAGAAAATCGCAGGGGAAGTCGAAATGCATTATAAACAATATTTTTTGGTTTACATTACTGCCACACAGTAACCCCAGTATTTGATGAATAACTTCACTTTAAAAGGCGAGGTTTTTTTACAGTCGCTGCAAGCACACACCTCAACAAAAGCCCGCGTGCTCTTTGACACCCTTTCTCGAAGCTGTGTATCTAGAAGTATGCGCAGTTCTCATTTACCTGAAAAGGTAAGCCATGGACCTACCAGTGCTTACTAGACTTTATTAATTTTGAGTAAAATTATGTCCTTTTACAAAGCTGAGTTTTCCCTGTACGATTTAGAGGTACAATGGGTGAAAATGTTTGCCGTCTAAGACAATACAACATAACACTAGGGGCATTATGATAACTCTACATCACAACCCGTCCAGCTGATTAAATCAACTCATATATACCCAAAGACGTTAAATGGCCGTGGCGATACACGTCTCAGTCAGTTTAAGGCGTTTTTCGGTGAAATGCGACTTTTTTCTCTAACTAAGCAAGAATACAATGTCGAAAAAGGTACCATTGTTTTCATAACAAAATGACATGCCCCCACTCCGAACATAAAAGTTCAGTTAAACTATTTAATAAAATTGTTAATTCAAGTCATACTGAATTGCTTTAGTTGCACACCACCTTGTACATTCAGATTGCAATTGTTGTACTCTTTTAAATGATGACTTTAAAAAAGTCTTAAAGAGATTAAAAAAATGGTAAAAATAACGATTTCCCTTGGGTAAACGACGATTTTCCCATACTTACTAGAGGTTAATGAATGCATTCCAGTATTCAACGTTAGTTCATGTTTTTCCAATAAGTTTGGTTTTTCTTGAACATATAAAATTTCTTAAGAGATTATTACGTAGGTACAGCCATCTGTGAAGGTATTTGGTCGGATGGCAAGCACAGATTCCAGAAGAATCACGTTAATCGTTGTATAGGTGGTAAAATGGAATTTATTATATTTCTTTGAGGTGTTTACAATGTAAATATTGTGAAAAATGAATATCATACGAAGAGGTGTTATCTCTTTAAGCGGAAGTAATTTAGTAGAAAGAAATGGTGAACAGTGGCTATAAAATACTCATTCTGTCACCTTAATTAGCACGAACTTTCATGCACTAGGGCTCTTATTGCCAGTCTCTGATATGTACTATATACTAACGAACAGCACACATCAGAAAACGTGCCAAGTATGAACTTAAGGCGTGCTAATTAAGTGACTATAATGTTCTCCTTTTTTTACATGCTTCGAATTCCTTACAAAGATTTGGTGGCTGTAGGATAAAATGATTAATAATTGACTGGATTTTTTGGTAAATAACTTCAGCATCACCGCGATAAACCAGGTCAATACTAGTACATACCGGTACTCATGTGACTATAAGTACTACTGGGTGTGTTTGCTGTGCCATATTTGTTATTCTTTTTTATTGTCATTTCTAGGTCACACCGAGGAGACGCTCAGTAACAGAGACGCATACCTTTGACACAGTAAAGTAGATCTGGCAAATTAAAGAGAGAGAGAGAGAGAGAGAGAGATATGGCAACAAGTGCAGAACATCTGTCGCTGATAATTGCCCCTCCAGTGGCGGGAGGGGTCGTACTGGCTGTCGTGGTTGTAGTTATTGTTTTTTGCAGGCGGCGGTGTAGAAAGCAGGATATAGACAGGAGGTAAGACTGGGGGTTTATTTGGGCTACTTCCTTATTTCATGAATCATATACAGAGATATGTAGAACATGTATATAAAAAGTGGATGGGGGTATTGCACTTCTATATACATTTCGTAAATCATATACCTTTTTTACATGTCAGAGTTATGTAGTATAAGAAAGATGGATGTGGGAGGGGATGCACAGTGGACCACCCGACCCCTAGCTTCTATAGTACTTCTTATCTTCCTTCTACCTTCTCCCAAATTCCGTAAACGGTAAAACAAGCGAGACAAGGCTGAAACCAAGGGTTTTCTCTCCTGGTGTCGCACAGAGCAGCAATTGTGTGTGTACTGGTATGTTTATGAAGTTAGATCCGAACCAAGTGCCCCTATTAACCAGTTCAAAGCCTTTAAGTACATTGATATATCAATTACGCATGGCTTCCCATGGTGTCACGAGATACTTGGTAATGTATTTTGTCCATGAAAAACGAAAGTAAAAAGTTGAACCGAAACGCGCGTTTATAGTGACATACTTGAATGAGTAAAATTTGTGGAATTTGCATCGTGCACTAAGGTCGAGAGCACGCGTCAAAAAAACAATCAAAATCTTTAATAAGAGAAGGTATTACGCTAATGATTAATCCATTGATGCATTTAATTTATCCAAAACAAACAAAAGGGGTTATCAGGGTCAGAGGTCTATCGCGTGACGCATTAGAAAATTTATAATATGTGACAAAATGGTAATATTAATCGTGAAATAAAGTGGTGTTACTATTATTTCCTTAATATAGTAGATAATAAAATATAATGCTTCATGTGAAACAAACATTAACTTTTTCTTACTAATAAATTTGTTTAGTCTCCTTTATTTTTGTGTGTAAGGCAATTAAACGTTGATCTACTTAAACTTGAAAGCATCTGCAACAATAAAAAAACCGATTTTGCCTGTTCGTGTCTCTTGGCCTATATGTTTGAACAATTTGGAAGAGATTTGGGTAAATTAAAAAGTGAAGAACACAGAAAGTGCATAACAATAAAAAAGAAAGCCTGTTTGTGACTGACCAATTTTTGCCATGTTAAAAATAACAAATGTGGCAGTCAGAAACATTACTAAAATATTCCTAGCACACGTCAATTTTAAGGTATTGATGCTGTTTGTTTCAGTGTGAAAAAACAAGGCAACGAAATCACAGGTGGTGTGAGATATGAGAAGGTAAAATTCCTTCCGTTGTTACATGTAAGAACGTAGCTTGATAAATTATTATTTAATTGTTATCAGTTACTTTATCTTCTACATTTGCCACATACATACGTATACTAGTAGGATGTAACCCGTTGAAACCATCTCACTTGAACTTTGGCTTGACATATTTGCCTGCTTAACAAATGAAATTTTTTTCAAGGAATGCACTCATAAATATGTTTACTAATTAATGCACACATTATCAAGACGTTTAAGTGAAAACTCTCTGACTTCAGAAAACGGGCATCGAAAACGTGGCAATGGATTACAATTCAACAGCTCAATTAACGGCAAGCGAGAGAAATGACGGAAGGAAGAATGAAATTCTTAAAGGCAAGGCTTCGCAAAACCATACTCCATCTACCGGTGAGTACCTCCACTTCGCTGACAGCGGTTCATCCCTGAAGCAGCATATGTATGGCAATGTCAGTGTGACGTCCTCATCGGGCGTCATAGACACATATCAGGTGGGACCTGCACTGACGCCACACGATTCCAATTATTCTCAATTCATGACGTCATCATGCCACAGTTATGTGAACACAAAACAGCAGGGGGAAGGCACAAACAGTGAGACGCGTGGTTCAAGCGAGAGTGCAGATTATACGTATGCCTGGTCTACTTTTTCTATTAAGAAGGGTAAAGATGTGCCTTTAACGAACTATGGGACCTATGAAGATGTTGGAACCAGTGGGTCAAATCTTTCTCGCAAGAAGTGATAGCTTGTTGCTTATGCAAAGTGATCTCAGGTCATTCAACGTGTTGTTATTTTCAGATATCACCTTTTTTATTTACATTAAATTAATGTGCTTTATTATAGTGCGTAATGCCTTGATATATAAAACACAAACAGCCCATGTGACTTATCATTCTGATTACGATAATTAAAATGAATGTGGTTGTGTCTTATATCTTACTTTGCGTGCAATTCAACTAATAACTGTTAGACTGACCCCCCTCCTCCCCCAAAAAATTATAATAAATAAATTATTAGAAAGAAAAAGAAAGAAAATACGCAGTTCATTATTTAAAAAAATGTCGCTGCATTGCTTCATCCAGGATTCACGTCATCATCTGACGGAAACAAATGAGAACTGTGATCCCAAGCAAAAGTTGTCCATAGCTTCGTGTAACATATGGGTTATTATTTTTTTTACTCTTTTTGAGCATAAAGGTATAAAAATACAGTAACATTTTCACAGAATGTTGTTCAGTGCATCCACAAAAGGGACAATTTGCATATTCCATGTATCCCTTTGAAGGATTATTTTTCTCGTTACCGTCGCTTTAACATGAAAAAGTCCATATCAACTGCTTCGTGTAATTCAATCTGGATCTATCAAAAACATTCAGTGATTTGGATTCTCTATGTCGTAGCTTTTTTCAC